AGGGGGAGGGGAAGAGGAGGAGACCCCCTCCTCCTCCTCCTCGTCCCGTCCATCCATCCCTCCCTCGTCCTGCTTCCTCATCCTCCCCGTTCGCCCATCCCGCCTTTCGTTCTCGTCTTACCCCCCCTCCTCGCCATCCACGTTCGCCGTCTTCGTCGACTTTTCAATGTTAGCGTCGTCTGCCAAAACGGCATCCGAACGACGCGCGACGCTACCTCTGGGCCCACGGATGCTTTTGAACACAGCAGCCTTGCTTGACTGCAGATAACCCAGCGCGAGGTCTCAGGACCCAGCGCAATGTGCGTACGAACCGAGACGGTATCATAGAAGGACGCGGTCGCCTTTCGGAATCTCCGATTGCATTGCAATGGAAAGGGGCAAGCACGACAGCGCAGACATCTCCCTGAGAAAAGGCGGCGACTTAGCCAGAGGCTCTAGCACGTGGCAGAGTTACTGTTGGCTTCAAGGGTACACTTCGCACCATACCTCGCCCCTGTTTGGGGGTCCCCCAGAGGTCACCTATAGCGCTTTATTCAACCGCTACAAAAGGATTTCGGTTGAAAGCCTTTACTAACGATTTTTTTATTGGGAGCCCATACGAAAGGATTCGTTTTGAAACCCCATGCAAAAGGATGCATATTGAAAGCCTTTACAAAAGGATTCCGATCGAAACCCCTTACCAACAGGATTCTTGTTGAATGCCGATGCAAAAGGCTTACTATTGAAAGCCAACACAAAAGGATTCCGACCGAAAGCCTTTATAAAAGGATCCCGAATGAAAGCCATTGCAGAATGTTTCCTATGGGAAGCCGCTACAAATTGAAAGCCGCGACAGCAGGATTCCGATTGAAAACCTTTACCAAAATGATTCCGAATGAAAGCCTCTACAACATGATTCCTATTGAAAGTCAATGCGAAGGGATTCCCATTGAAAGCATCTACAACAAGGATGCCTATTGAACGCCAGTGCGCACGGATTCTGATTGAAAGCCCATTAAAAAAAAATTATCATTCAAAACCGTTACACGAGGATTTCTATTGAAAGCATCTACAGCAGGATTTCTATTGAAAGCCTCTACAACGTCCTCCTCCTCCTCTTCCTCCTCCTCCTCCCCCTTCCAGCGGAAGGCCGCAACTCGTAGGAAAGCCATTTGTCGAGCAAAAACTTGAAATCGCGGGGGGGGGGGTGCGAGAACGACTGAAGCCAATCCAGCAGGCCCCCTTTGCACCTGAAGCTTTTGGCACATGCTCGCAGGTATTGGTTGCGGAGTCGCAGTTCAAACTCCCATGGAAGGAATTGCCGCAGTTCGGCAGGTTCGCTGGGGAGACGCAGTTCCAAACCCCGCTGGGGGATATGGCACACTTTGGGAAACATTGGTTGGGAAGGCGCACCTCCAAATCCCGCTTGGGTATTTGGCACATGCTGGCAGGTGTTGGTTGGGGAGACGCAGTTCCACAACCCGTTGAAGGATTTGACACATTCTGTTGGATGTTGGCTGTGAGGCGCAGTTCTAAACTCCGCTTACGCGGGCCTAAAGATGGTTCTCTTGACCCTGGGTTGCTGAAAGCGCCGTGCCGTTCAAGTGAGCGGATGTATGTTGCGCTCGCTTCGGAACGGGACGTGCCACATGTTCTGGGAGGGGGCGCGGGAATTGGCCGTGCCCTTCGTGGCGCTCGACCAACCGTATGTTATGGGAGGAGCTTGTGTGATGGCCAGGCCCCTCGATCGCCAGCATGTTATGGGAGGGGATAAGGGAGGTGGCTGTGCCAGCTGTGGCGCTCGAGCTTCCGAACTTGACACTTTGCTTGTTTTCGTCGTCCTCGTCGCCCCTCTTCTTCTTCCTCTTACATCTCGTCCTCCTTCCCCTCCCTCCTCCCGCCTTCTCCCCCGTCATGCCTCCTTCCTCCGCCTTCCTCCTCTTCCTACTCCTCTTCCTCCTCCTCCTCGTCTTGCTTCCCCTCCGCCTCATCTTCCCTCCTTTCTCTCCCTCGCCCTCCTTCATTCGTCCTCTTAGATTATCCTCCCACCTCCGCCCTCCCTCTCCCCCTCTCCCCTCCACTTGCCTCCTCTCTTCTTCCCTCCTTCTCCTTACCCTAGGATGTCTCTTGCCCCGTAGAATTTTCGCATTGGTTTGCAGAGCCACCGCTCCGTGGATAGCATGATGCCTGACGTTCAGCGCCCCGCGACTTAAAAACATCGTGTGGACCCATGAGACTCGCACTATCATAGGTGTACTCCAGGAACAATAATGTATCCATTGATTCCTCGCACGCGGCAAAGTTGTTCCGCGAAACACAAAAGCAGGACCCACGAAATTGCTACAAACCCAGAGCCGGGATCCAGTTTGATCAATTGTGTTGTCATGCGTTAGTTCCAAGAGGAACAAACACTCGGCTTGGGGGTGTATTGGCGAACGTGCGAGCAGATCATAGCGAACAGTCTTAACGTGTGTTGAACATCAGCTCGAATGAAGCAGTATTGGCGTTGTGCTTGTATATATGTGGAGTTGTAGCTGTTTCCCGCGTGCGTGTCCGGCTGTGCTTGTACAGCTCGTGTCTGGGGCCAGCCGCAACTCGGCCTCACTAGGCATCTCGTTTGTGTATCCCTCGCTCTCCTTCTGGTGCTCTCTCATTATTGCTCTCTTCCTTCCTTTCGCACGCGGCACGTGCTCACGTCCTGTAGGCCACGGTTCAGTCCATGCGCTTGCCTATTACAGGTCGGTTCTTGTGGTGTTCCCGGTTTGCCTGGCGACTTTTTGACTCGCGCCGCGGTCGAGGCCGAGCCGGGTGAAGTTCAGTGTTCGCGTTCCCCCCTCCCCTTGAAGAGCGTAGTTAAAGGAGATCCATAGGTTGATCTCCTTGTCGGTGAACATACGCGCTTTTCATGTCCTTTCCGGGGCTCGCTGATGGATTTTGTTGTACAAAAATTGAGAGAACAAAAAAGGAGAAGTATAGGCCTCAGACGGTGCCCGTGGGCCCCGGAGTACAAGACTAGCGGTTCCCGCCGGATATTGCTTAAACATGTACCAAGACATCGGCCTTTCGCTGGGTAATTCGTGGCACTTGATCCAGGAGTCGCGCTCTCGCGCAGGACGTCCCCGATTCGTGTTCAGACGCCGTTCCCTCGACCCTCGGGAAGCACACTCTCGCTTCTGACTTTCTCATGCAGGACTGCGGGATCGGGCTATCGCTCGAGCCTTCCTCGCGACTCATGCAGGACTGACGCTTCGGCGACCCGCCCGCTCGACCAAGCTGGCTGGGCCTGCCCGCCCGACTCGCCCCTTAGCGTCCGCCCGCCCGACCCGTCCGTCTGGTTTTGCCGCTTGTCTCCCTGCTCCTAATTTGCTATCCTGCTAATTTCTCTCTTGCTCCATCCTTCTCTCTTGTCCCTTCTGGGGCTGCGCAAACTACGCGTGGCAGGTATGTAATACATACCCCCATGGTAGGCACGATCGAGGACGAAGAAGGCGTGTAGCCAGGATTTGGGGGACACATGTTGAACGATATGCGAGCAGGTACGAGCGAACAGTCTTGTCGCCGACCCCCCCTCGACACGCCCCGCGACCCACCCCGCGCCCCGTCACACCCGCGACACACCCGCGACCCTTCCGCGACCCACCCCGCGCTCCACCCGCGACCCACCCACTTTGCGCTGACGAGCCATCAGCGCCTGCGGCGGGCTCGCTGTGCTGTGTTCCATCAGAATCGACGCCCGCGGCGCGAGCTTCATGACGTTTTGCTCTCGAGCTTGGCAGGCTGCCACGGACCCCCCACCCTCGCCCCCTCGTTCTTAGCAGCAACTGCGGGGAGCTAGGGTTTAATTCGATGCTCGTTTTGGGACCCTTCCTGGGGCCCACCTAACGGATCTGTTCGACTCTAGTTCGACCCCAGTTCGATTCAAGTTCGATTCAAGTTCGAATCAAGTTCGACTCAGGTTCTACTAAGGTTCGCCTCAGGGTCGACTCAAACTGAGCATGCAAGTTTAACCAATTTTTCGGCGGCGAGCGAGGGGGAGAGGCGAGAAGGATAATGGATTCCCAGAAAGCGGCGGGACTTCTCAGAATCCCTCGCGCCTTCTAAGAGGTTTCCGGTGTCTTCGTGGGAGGCTCCGAGAACTTCTCAGAAGGCCTGGGGACTTCGGAGTCTCCTGAGAAGGCCCGCCCCTCCCCACTCCCCCGCCAGGCTCGCCGCCGACCTTCGCATCAACAGATCCAGCAGCATCCGGCGATTCCTCCGCAGTGCCAGCGCAGCATGCTGGGCGGCAGCTATTCGAGAAGGCAAGAGGGGGCCCGCAGGGGGCCTCTCGGGGCAGGGGGCTCGGCTTCTTGCTCCGTGCTCCCCTTCTCGGGGCGACTCTTGGGCGCCTCCTGGGCCGTCTTGGAGCACTCTGGGGCCGTCTGGGAGCTCCCCTGGGGGCCTCTTTAGCCGCCCCCCCAGCACTCACCTGAGCGACGCAACAAAAACGGGGTCGTCTGCGCGGACATTGGCGCGTAAGCCGTCCGCGCAAGTTCGCGCGTGAGCGCCCTCGTCTCCAATGTGGCGTGCCGCGCTTGCGGCCCGCGTAAGCCGCCGCGTAAGGTCGCCGCGTCATCTCGCGTAAGACCCCTTCTTTGATCGTCGCATACATACAGTCAATCCGCATGGTAAGGACGGGCAACCTCCCCAAGGGTACCCTTGCGTCCTTGCCTCCTCGGTCCATCCTTCGCCACCTTCGTTGGCCGCGCCACGCTCGGAAAGCTTCGAAATGACCTTCAAGGCCCTTGCATCCTTATTGCGCATCCTGGTGATACGGGCCTACTGCACAGTCAACCCACATCGTGAGCATGAGCGCCTTTCCAAGATGCCACTGGCATGAAGTCGGCATGTCCAGAAACAGCGGGGGGACGAGTGTTTGACCGTTTTCGCTTGTCCCTGACTATTTTTGCTCACTGTTGCGTCCTGATTGTGCGGGCTCCCCGTCGAGCCCGCGGCGCTCCGCGCCGCCGCCTGCCCTCGCGGAGGCGGCCGAGCGCGGCTGCCGCGGCCTGGCGGAGCGCCTGCGGCGGGCGCTCCCCGCCGCCGAGGCGCTGGCCCTGCTGCGGGTGCGGGCCCCGGCGGCCGCCGCCCGCCTGCGGGCGGCAGTCGGCAGCGCCTACCAGGACGTCGTCGTCGTCGTCGTCGTCGTCGTCGGCGGCGTCGACCCAAGACAGGCTTCCCCGAGATCCTTGCGTCGCAACTTTGCGAGCCGGGCGTGGCCGCCCCATTTCGGGCCCCGGGGCCCTCGCAGAGCGATGCGGCTCGAAACAGGGTGTGGAGGGGGTTCAGGTCTCCGGTCGTGCTCCGGTCGTGGATTGGATGTTTCAAGTCTTCGAGACGGCGGATCTCAGGGTTGCGCTGTGAAGCAATCACGACGGGGGGGTTCTGGTGCTCAGCATCCCCCTGGGACCAAAAAGCGGCCCGTGATGCAAAGCGGGCCCTGGGGAAAGGGTCGGGACTCTCGGGGGTCGCGCAGTGGAAAAACTTTGCACGTCGTAGAAGGCCTCCAGCGTACAGTCGGCCCAGATTAGTAGATCGACCCTGCCAAGTCAAGGGTACCCTTGTGTCCTGTGTCTCGCGACCCATGCCTCCTACATTCCTATGGCAGTGCGCCCGTTGGAAAGGGTCTTTCGTCCTCTCGCGTGTCCTCTCCCATCAAGTCCGACTGTGGACACAAGACGCTGAAATGTGAAGGCCACGTCGGGCTCAGGAGGGTCTCCGGGTCAGGGGCCGTGCCTCATATGTTGGGGCGGGACGCCTGTTCGTGGCCGAGGGTCGCGGTGGCCAGCGGAGGTGCCTGTGTTCCGGTGCAGCTCTGTGGCCGCCCTGGTGCGCACGTGTTGGAGCGCAGCACGTGCAGCCGGGCCGAGGCACGAGATCGAGGTCGGTTCGGGGAGGGTACTGTGATGTTCTTCGTTCGGCGGCGAGCGAGGGGGGAAAGCGAGAAGGAGAAGGCCTTCTCAGGAGCCTCGGAAGTCCCCCGTCCTTCTGAGAAGTTTCCTGAGGCTCCCCCGAAGACGCAGAACACTTCTCTCGGAAGGCGCGAGGGCTTCTGAGAAGCCCCGTCGCCTTCTGAGAGGGTCTTCTCCTTCTCCTTCTCCTTCTCACTTCCAACCCTGGCGTACCGCCTATTCGTGTTTGTTGGATGTTCTGGTTCATCCTGTGAAGGGTACCCTCGGTGATCTTCTAATTTGTGGTGTTTTGACCAGCGGAGGGCCCCGTGTTCTCGAAGGAGGTTCTTCTGGCCCAGGTTCGACTGCACCGTGTTTAACACACCTCTCGCGCACGAGCTTGCCCACGTTTCGGCGAGTAGCGCCAGACAGACGTTTGCACACTCCACGTTCCGTTCCAACATTCGGCTATACATAAGCAAGGGCGCCCTCGAGGGCGCGAAGTTATTCGCGCTTCGCGCTTCGCGGTTCGGCTCCGATTCCTCCTCATCCTCCTCTTCTCCCCTGGGAGGCAACGCGAGGGCGCGAAGGTATTCGCACTTCGCGCTTCGCGCAGCGCGACGCGCGAAGTTGGGAGCCCTTTGGTAAGAGTGACCGCTCGCCCGAGTGACCTTTGGTTCGGGCCGGGCGAAAGGGGGGGATAGGGAAAGGGGGTGTTACGAAATTTGCTGCATGCGGCTGGTTGCGGCCTCACCGAGGGGCCCATTCCTCGATACATCGCCGCCTCCGGCGCTGGAAGGCTCCGGGAAAATCAGCTACGTGAGCTGATTCTCAAACCCCCCTTTGCCCTCCATTTCCAGTTGGGGGGGGGGGTCGGGGAACGTCGAAAAAACACATATGGAACCCGTACCCCCCCCAACCCGAAATTCGGGTCAAATTCGAGTCTTCGGGTTGGGTTGGGGTGGTCTGGTAGGTAGTCAGCCGGGGCCCCGCGGGGGTGTCCGGCACTCCAGCGCCAAGCGGAGGAGGAGGAGGAGGAGGAGGAGGAGGGAGGAGGAGGGAGGAGGAGGAGGAGGAGGAGGAGGAGGAGGAGGAGGAGGAGGAGGAGGAGGAGGAGGAGGAGGAGAGGAGGAGAGGAGGGAGGAGGAGGAGGGAGGAGGAGGAGGGAGGAGCAGGAGGAGGAGGGAGAGGATGGCCGAGGGAGGTGCGATATCGCAGCGGCCTGCGCGCTCCGGCGGCCGGGCCTCCCCGCGGCCTCCCGAGAGCCGCGCGCAAAGAGGGCTCTTGCCTGTAGGGTTCTGGTGTCCTCCTCCTCCTCCTCCTCCTCCTCCTCCTCCTCCTCCTCCCTCCCTCCTCCTCCTCCCTCCTCCTCCTCCCTCCTCCTCCTCCTCCCTCCTCCCTCCCGCCTCTCCTCCTCCCTCCTTCCTCCTCCCTCCTCCTCCCTCCCGCCTCTCCTCCCTCCTCCTCCTCCCTCCTCCTCTCTCCTCCTCCTCCTCCTCCTCCTCCTCCTCCTCCTCCTCCACGTCCTTGGAGTATTGCCAGGTGTCCCGCCAGAAATTGTGGCCTCTCGTGGCCATATTGTGCAATTGAGGAGGAGGAGGAGGAGGAGGAGGAGGAGGAGGAGGAGGAGGAGGAGGAGGGAGGAGGAGGAGGAGAGAGAGGAGGAGGAGGAGGAGGAGGTAGAGAGAGGGCGGAGAGGAGGAGGCGAGGAGGAGGAGGAGGAGGAGGAGGAGGAGGAGGAGGAGGAGGAGGAGGAGGAGGAGGAGGAGGAGAGGGGGAGGAGAGGGGGAGGAGTTTTTTTTTTTTTTTTCTCTCTCTCTCTCTCTCTCTCTATTCGATCCTTGCTCCTCCCGCTTGCCCCGCTTTCACCGTTCCTGCCTCCCACACCCATAGCTCCTCCCCCCTCTCGACCGCCAGAAATGATGAGTTCGAGCACCACGGGAGTAGCGAAACCTGAGGGTGTTCACGTCCAGGGCCCTGGGAGGCGATGCTCGTTTGACACCGTTTCGATGCTTGTCTGAGTGCTCGAAATGATGTCTGGGATCTTGTCTGTATGTACGATGGGAGCAACATAAGCCTAGGGTCCGCTCTAACATATGAGCGAAACACGCCAGGGCCCTCCAGGTGTTCCGCCCCCGACGGGCCCCGGGGCCGCCAAGAAGCGGCTCGGGACGTCGGGCCGGCCCCGAGGTCGGCGGTCGGCAGCGCCTGCCCGGACTCGTCGTCGTCGTCGTCGTCGAGAGTCGTCGTCGTCGTCGTCGTCGTCGTCGTCGAGAGTCGTCGTCGTCGTCGTCGTCGTCGTCGTCGTCGTCGTCGTCGTCGTCGTCGTCGAGAGTCGTCGTCGTCGTCGTCGTCGAGAGTCGTCGTCGTCGTCGTCGTCGTCGTCGTCGTCGTCGTCGTCTTCGTCGTCGTCGTCGTCGTCGTCGAGAGTCGTCGTCGTCGTCGTCGTCGTCGTCGTCGTCGTCGAGAGTCGTCGAGAGTCGTCGAGAGTCGTCGTCGTCGTCGAGAGTCGTCGAGAGTCGTCGAGAGTCGTCGAGAGTCGTCGATGTCCGGGCAGTTGATCGCAGCTCTCGGCCGCCGGAAAAAAGACCGTTCCAGGCCCTCGAGAGGCCGCCACAGGTCGACCCGGGACGAGGAAGAGCTGGTCGGGAGGGGCTCCCGGAGAGGCCCAGGGGCCGACGTTGACAGGAAGGGGGCGACTCACAATGGCCGGCGACGAGCGTAAAACGACGCGAAGATCGGGACAAAATCGGATCGGGATAACTCGAAATCTCTGAGAATCGGCGGGTTTGGAGGATGTACTGGGCGCCGCGGCCGCTCCGGAGCGTTCCGGAACGCTCTGGGAGCGCTCCAGAACGCTCTGAGAGCGATTTATCCCGATCCTAGCCCTGTTTTAGAGCGAGGGGCGGACGTGAGAATGGGCGGGCCTTCTCAGGAGGCTCGGAAGCCCCCCGGTCTTCCGAGAAGTTTCCTCAGTCTCCCCCGAAGACGCAGGACACTTTTTTTCAGCAGGCGCCAGGGCTTCTGAGAAGCCTCGTTGCCTTCTGAGAGGGTCTGCTCCTTCTCCTTCTCACTTCCCCTCCTGGCTTGCGCCTATTCGTGTTTGTTGGATGTTCTGGTGCATCCTGGGAAAGGGTACCCTCCGTGAGTTTCTGAGTTGGGGTGCTTTGGCCAGCGGAGGGCCCCGTGTTCTGGATGGAGGTTCTTCTGGCCCAGGTTCGACTGCACCGTGTTGAACACGTCTCTCGCGCACAAGCATGGGCTCCAGGAGAGCTCCGGGGGCCGATTTTGACAGGAAGGGGCGTTTGTTAAGGAATGCGCCCAGGGCTGCAGACCCTGGAGGCCTCCTTCTTTGACAAGGGCGGCGGTGATATCCACGGCCATTCCTTGTCCATCGGTTCCTTCTCCAGTGCCTCCACCGTATCCAAGGGCGCCCTCGAGGGCGCGAAGTTATTCGCGCTTCGCGGTTTGGCTCCGATCCCTCCTCGTCCTCCTCTTCTCCCCCGGGAGGCGGCGCGAGAGCGCGAAGTTATTCGCACCTCGCGCTTCGCTGAGCGCGACGCGCGAAGTTGGGAGCCCTTGCGTGGCAGAACCCGTCGATGCCCCCTGGGGCCGTGGCCGCTCCGCCGCGAGCGCCGACGCCCCGACGAGAGATGCCTCGTGGGCCCGCGCGGCCGCGGCTGGCGGGCCAGCGCCCGCCGGAGGGGCGCTTTTGCGTCTGCACGTGCGGGCCGGTCGGCCCCAGAGGCACCCCCTGGGGGTCAGTCGGGCGTGTCCCTCCACAGGAGGAGTGTTCAAAAATAGTCCAAACATAATATGGTTTGACGATTTTTGATATGTTAAAAAAGTAGCAAACCATAATATACAAGTTGTCAAACATAGTCAAAAACTGTCATAACAAATCGCAGATATGTTTGGAATAGAAATGGTCCAACAATAGTCCAACCATACATTAATATTCAGCATATGATATGCTGGGTGGGATATTCATCGAGGGGTAGGCGACGAACCTTCCGACGGAGCTAGCCCATCCCCCCCCAAAATAATCAAACATACCCTGGGTGGGATAACCATTCATCGAGGGGTGGGCATCGAACCTTCCGACGGAGCTTGGCCATCCTCCCCCTTTCCTCGACCTCCTCCTCCTCCTTCTCCTCCTCCTCCTTCTCCTCCAATCCCCCCTCCACCCGTGCCGGCAGCACGTGCCCACCCCCCCAGCAGATTCAGTGGGG